TAGCCATTATTCTAACTGCTGGGCCCCCCCCCCCCATTTCATTGATTCGCAAAACAGCTTAATTAATCTAAATACTTTCAATAGTGAGTTCAGCTGATATTTACCTGTGAACACATGTTGACTTTACACATGAAACTCTGTGTGTAGAATGAATATACTATAAAGTAGCACCTAGCTGAGGCTATATAGCTTACTGTGGTCATTAAATAGGTATTTTTTAATATATTTTTTAATTTCAAGAGAGGCAGTTTTAGCTTTAATAAATCAAAATTTAAAAATGTTAAGAGAACTTTTCTTAAGACTTAAAGCCAGGAAACAGGTTAGGGTTCTGTTCAAATAGTAGGTACATGGACCTGTCCACAACTCGAGAGAAGACAAAGCTCCTCAACACTGGAAAACAAAGCATAGAAGGTCAGTAATGTTTTAGTGAAAAGTCATACAATTTTATGTCACCAGTTCAAACTCATGTACTTTATCTTCTGTTGTGGTCTGATCATTCCATTTGAATTCTGGAAGATAATGTTCAACTCTGGACTTGTCCCTACCATTAAGCTGGCCATTTTCTTAGTTCTTTCTGAACTCTTATTTCTGTCTTATTTTGGTTTTCCTGGGATAGCACTCCCTTTAGAAATTCTTGGAAAGCTGGTCTGGTGTCGATGAATTCTTTGAGGTTTTGTTTATCTGAGAATGTTCTTGTCTTCTCTTCCCATATGAAGGATAATCTTACTGAATACAGTATTGTTGGTTGAAATTGTTTTTCACTCAACACTTTGAATATATTTTCCCATTCTTACCTTGCTCACATTGTTTCCAATGAGAGGTTTGCTGTTAGCCTGATGGAATATCCTTTGTAGGTAACTTGACGTTTCTCTCTTGCCAGTCTGCGTATCTTGTCTTTGTCTGTGGTTTTGGTCAACCTGGCTATAATGTGTCTTGGAGAAGATCTTCTTGGGTTGATCCTATTTGGTGTCCTTTGGGTTTCTCGGGTCTGGATCTTTCAATGCCTTTCTAGGTTTGGAAAGTTTTCTTCAAGGATTTCATAGAATAGATTATCAATGCCCTTATGAATCTCTTCACCTTCTGGGTTACAGATTATCCAGATGTTTGGACATTTAATGATATCTAGTATTTCTCGTATACTATTCTCATTTGGGGGGGACTATTTTCTCAGTCTTCATGGTGGATTTTACTAGTCCAGTGATTCTGTCTTCTACTTCTGAGATTCCATTTTCTGTATGATCTAGTCTGCTCTTAATACTTTCAAGGGAGGTTTTGACTTCATGTATTATATCCTTCATCTCTAAGAGTTCCATTTGATTCTTTTTTATGGTGTATATTTCCTCTTTCAGCTCTCGCAAGAACTTCCTCACCTCCCGGAACTCATCAGCTTTTTTCTTCTAGAGTTCATTCTCTTCTCTTCTACCTCAGTTAGCTTTGTCACTATGAATATTCTAAATTTTTTATCAGACATTTCCGTGAGTTCCATTGTACTATCTGTGGATGAAGAGGAGTTATTCTTTTCCCTTGGGGGAGGAATATTGTCTTAGTTTCTCATATTTCTTGTGCCTCTGTGGTGATTCTAGTCATCTGATGGGTTATCTGTTTCTTCCTAATTTCTAGAAGTCAATCTGAGCAATCTGAGGCACACAGGAGGAGGTGGTCTGCAAACTCTTTGCTGTTTTCATTTTTCTCCCTTTGTGTCAAAGATTCAATAGAAATTGAGGAATATGTTGACTCTAATAGTATTTGGATGATTGGTCATGTTTCACTTAGACCTGTCTAGACACTTAGTGCGTGGAGGCTGAGTGCATAGTGATGAGGTAAAATAAAAAGAATAAGAAAACAGAGGAAGAGAGAAAGAAGAAAGTGAAAAAAAGGAAACAAGCTAAATTATTTATTTATTCTTTTAAAAAATGAAAACTGCATAGCACGCTCTTAGCTCTCATGGCAGACTCAGTCTTCTTGTCTGAAAACTTGCCCTTTTTGCCTCTCTGGGTGACTTCTCAACAGAACATCTTCATTTCTCTTATCCCTAAAAGCATTAGATCTCAGCTCTCATGGAAGACTCTTTTCTTTTTTAAAACAGTTATTTATTTATCTATTTATTTGTTGTGATTTTTTTCAAGCCACTGGATTTGGATCTTGAACCAAGGTTGGCCATGTGGGAGCCCAACACCCTAACCACCATACCACCTGCTGGCCCAGTGGATGTAGTTTTCCACAATGGTAAAACTTCTTGACCAAAGACCAAACTAAATAAAGTATAACTTTGTCCTTTTTAAGTTTTTAACTATGGAAGTTGCATTCCTAGAAAATTCTCTGTATGACAAAACTGTACAAAAAATTATTTGATGTTTATTTATTAAACAGTTAAGTTTGGACATTGAACCATTATAAACTAGTCCTTAACCTTGACTTTCTAGCGGGACACTGCAAAGTCTGGAGGGTTGTGGAATAATTCTTCATTGCCTGGGACTGTCCTGCATTTCCCCTACACAGTAATTTCCCCTAAATCAGTGTGATGATTAATCTCTACTTATGAATATTGCCAAAATGCCTCCTTTGTGGAGGCACCATTGAGAACCATTGGCTTAGAGTTTAGCTGGGAAGGGAAAGTTCACAGCCCAAAGACAGTTAGTATCATAAGTAGTCACGGATTAGATGTCAAGCCAGCCATTCAGAATAGGCATTGAGTATTGTTCAGAGGAGTGCAAGATAGCCTTGGGCACATAAGTCAGGAAATTCTTCAAAACTAAGCACAGTACCAGAAAAAGTATAGACTTGGAAGTCAGACAGGTTCTAGGTTCAGAATCCCAACTATGACATGTACTTCCTGTGTGAAGTTGGTAAGTAACTAAACTTTCCAAGCTTCTAGTGTAGAATGAAATGCTATGGTTTGCATGTCCCTTCCAAAAATTTAAGTTGAAATTTAATTGCCACTGTGATGATATTAAGAGGTGGGACCTTCTAGACGTCTTGCAGGCTTTGCCTTCACTAAGCTGTTATTGGGGTGGTGGGCTAGTTACCACAGGAGTGAGTTCCTGATAAAAGGAGGAAGTTCACCCATTCTCTGTCTAGAATATCACCTGCTCTCCCGCCTCCTGCTACTGTGGGACACAGCACTAAGACTCTTACTAGATGCTAGCATCGTATAATGCGCTTGAACTTCTCAGCCTCCAGGATCATAAGCTAAATAAATTTCTTTCTTTTTTCAATTTTTTGCCATAGGGTGTATGCACTCACTGGAGAGAGAGAGAGTCAGCTATGAAAAGAGGGAAAGTGGGAAATCGCCCTCCTTAGGGGCGGGGGAGGGGAAGTGACCACAACACAATCCCTTCTCCACCATTATCCTCTCATGATTTGGGGCTCACATGCATATGCACTGGCATGACTTTCAAGCACTGGGTCTGGGACTCAAACTATAGTTGGACATGTGGGAGTCCAGTGCCTTAACCACCATGCCACCTATTGGCCCCTATTTCATTTAAATTACCCAGTCTGTACCATTCTTATAGTAGCATTAAAAAAATAAGATAAGGCATAATCATATAATACTTACTTTGAAAGGTAAGTAGAGAGGATTCAGTGAGATTCCACGCAGGAAGTGCTGTGAGTAACCGGTACGAAGCAGATGTTTGACAAACAGTAGCTATCGCTGGCATAAGCATGGCAGGAGCAAGTGAGAGCAGAGGAGGCACAACACCCAACAACCTGGAGACAGAAATAGCTATGGTGAGTTTTTGTGCAAAGTACATTTATAGATCAGGCTGGCAAAGAGGATGAGAGTGACAGCCATAATTAGAACAGCAGTTAGTGTAATGGCTACGTTGCTGAACTCCCATGTAGTCGACCGCCGTTTGAGTCCCAGACCCAATGACTTCAACTCACGCCGGACGCGTGTGCGTACGTGCCCAAGATCCCGAGAGGAGAATGGAGGAGAAGGGATTGCGGTGTGGCCATCCCCCCTGGGGGGTGATTTCTCGCTTTCTGTCTGTCTCTTTCTTTCTGGCGACATCACGCGCCATATAGCAACCCCCCCCTCCAAAAAAAAAAAGAACAGTTTGGCATTTATTCTTCTTGGTAAAAGAAGTCAATGACTGTGGAGCATTCTCAGACACAACCTGAGTTAAACCCGACTACAAATAAGCCCAGCAAGGGCCATGGCCTTTCTTGCTATAAACAGCCACATTTTTCTTTTCTTTTTCCTTTTTTTTTTTTTTTTTTTTTTTGCTATATAGTACGTGCACTTGCTGTGGAGAGACAGAGTGAGAGGGAAAGTGAGAAATCACCCCTGGGGGTTAACTACGCTGTAATTCCTTCTCCTCTCAGGATTTTGGGCATGCTCATACAACGCCTGGCGTGGTTTCCAAGCTGCCCATTCTAGGACTCCAGCTGTACAGTCGGCCACGTAGGATCCAGCCACTATAACCTCCACCCCACCTACGGGCACCAATAGCCACATTTTAAACAACATGCATTTTCCCACATCGTTTGAGTTCTGCACTGCCACGAATGGACTTGAGAACAGCCTATGTGGTGACCTGTGATTTATCGAAAAGATAGCTTGCAAAGCTGAGCTGGGCCAATCAGATTCTCTTCTCAGGATTTTAAAAGAACTAGAGAGCTAGCTGCTCGAGCTGAGCAAAAAGATCTCCAGGCAGACCTCACACCAGAGCATCTATTATAGTTGGGGCCGTGCAGAAGTTGAGAGGAAGCCCATTACAGGAGGTGGGAGACTGGGTCAGGCATGCACAGAGACAGAAACATCAGTTAGAAAAACACATGACCCATGAGAGACTGAGAGTGAGACCAGCAGATGGCATAATGGTTACATCGCTGGACTCCCACATAATCGACCACAGTTTAAGTCTCAGACCTGGCAGCTTAAAACTTATGCCAGGTGCATATGTATGCATGCCCAAAATCCCAAGAGGAGAATGGAGGAGAAGGGACTGCGGCACGGTCATCCCCCCAAGGGGTGATTTCTTGGTTTATATCTCTGTCTCTGTCTCTCTGGCAAGTGCACATGCCCTATAGCACGTGTCCTGTAGCAAAAATCTCTCTTTAAAATAATTAAAATAGCTTGAGAGAGTAACTGCCTGTGGTACTAGTGGTTTTCGGGTTTCAGAGCATCCTTACAAAAATTCTCCATTCCTTAAGGTTAGTTTATGATTCTGAGTGCTCAAACTTCTCTAAGCACAAAGATGTTTATTTCTTTTAAGAGTTCATGGATAAAGTGATTCCATTCCTTTAAAAAGTCTTATGCAGGGGCCAATAGGTGGCATGGTGGTTAAGGTGCTGGACTTCCACATGGCTGATCATGGTTCAAGTCCTGAACCTGGCGGCTTGAAACTCATGTTCAAAATCCCAGAAGAGTGAAGGAGAAGGGATTGCAGTATGATCATCCCTCCTGGGGGAGGAGGAAGGTTATTTCTCACTTTTCCTCTTACTGTCTCTGTCTCTCTGCTGAGCACACACATCATTTGGGGAAAACCTTAAAAAAAAAAAAAAGTCTTATGCATATTGTTTCACCTTCAGATGCAGCCTAGTTGTAGAGGCGATATGCCAAGTGACAATTTATAGCACCATAAGGACAAAGAAGAGATTCTGGTTAAAGGATGTCATAATAAGCCTATGCCTAATGTTCCTGCCTCGACAAAAAGATACCAAAATTATCAATGAAAATCGACCGCTGGGGGAAAGAAATCCATGTAACCACTGGACGTTTGAGAATGGTGTTGCCGGCAAGCTAGCAATTTTGAAGCATTTCTGCAGACTACTGCACAGGCCATGGTAATACTGCTGGAAGGACCATAGTCCACGTGGGAAAGAAAGACTGAGTTTAAATAGAAGAAACAGTCCCATCTCCTCCATTTCTACACACACACACACACACACACTCATCTGGCTTGTTTCCAAGCTCCTGGGTTTGGGATTTGAACCGTGTGGTTGGCCATGTGGGATCTGGCTCCCTTAACCACCAGACCATAGGACTAGCCCTAATTCCTGAATATTTTCTTACATCCTAACCTCTAGCACTGTTAGCAGCCATTCTTAATAGCCCACTGCCCCAAGCTTCTGGCAGTCACTGATTTACTGCCAGTCTCTCTAGATTTGCCTATTACGGGAATGTAAATGAAACCACTCAGTGTTTGTGTCTGGCTTCTCTCATATAACCTAACGTTTTGAAGATTCACCCATGTGACAGCATTTTTCGTACTTCATTCTTTTCATGACTGAATAATACTCCATTAGATTAATATGCTATGTTTTTTATCCGTTCATCAATTGATGGATATTTGGTTTGGTTTTTGGCCATTATGAATAACGCTGGTGTAAACATTTGTGTACAAGCTTTTGTGTGAATATATGTTTCCAGTGCTCTTGGGTACATACTTTCATTTATTCTAAAACATAATCTTTCATATAAGAGTGATTATGTTTAAAAACTGACCTCTTGAGAATGGAGGAGAAGGGATTGCGGCGTGACCATCCCCCCTGGGGGGTGATTTCTCGCTTTCTGTCTCTATGTCTCTCTCTGTCTGTCTGGCGAGCGCACGCGCCCTACAGTGAAAATCTCTCAAAAAAAAAAAAAAAAACTGACCTCTTTGGGCCAGCAGGTGGCATGGCAGTTAAGGTGTTGTACTCCCATGTGACTGCTCACAATTTGAGTCCCAGACCCAGAGACTTGAAAAATCATACCAGGTATGGTCTCAAACCCTAAGGTGAGTGGAAGAGAAGGACCCGTGGCATGGACATCCCCTCTGGGAGGAGATTTCTTACTTTCTCTGTCTCTCTCCAGCAATCACACGCACCCTACGTCAAAAACCGAGAAAAAAATCCCAGAAAATAAAAAACAAGTCGACCTCTTTAAGATTGTTAGTTTTTGCTCCACATACACGTTTTCCACTTTGGGTAGGACTTGACATTCAGTGTCCGTATTTATGCCCCTTATATTAAATATAAGGGCTGTTAGATTTAAATTTTTTTATTCAATGATTATTTAAAAGAGCATTTAGGTTGTTTTTCAAACTCTTATTTAAGTTATGTAGGGCACTTTAAACAACCTGGAATGTGTTGAGCTTTTCTTTGTAGCCTAGTAGCTTGTCACGGTTTTGTACGATCTGTGGGTGCTTTGTTTTGGTTTTGGGGGGTTGCCGTAGAGCATGCACGCTCACCAAGGAGTGACAGTGAGAGGGAAGGTGAGAAATCACCCCCATGCCATCATCCCTGCTCCTCCTGGGATTTAGAGCATGCACGCACATATGCCCAGAGTAATTTTCAAACCACCAGGACTGGGACTCAAACCACACTCAGCCATGTGGGAGTCCAGCACCTTAGCTTCCACACCACCTGCTGGCCCCCCATAAATGCTTGAAAATGTTTGTTAAATACATTTTCCTAGATTTATTCTGAAAATTGTCTTTTTTTGTCTATTTGATCTGAGGAAGTGATATCAATCGACTTCTCAATAATTTTGTCTTTGTCAATTCCCCTGCATAGTTCATATAGTTTTGGCTTCATACATATTGGCACTTGTTACTTCATCCAGAAAAATCCTTGACTATTAGGTCTTTCTTGTGAACTGTATTTTTTATTGATACAAATTATTCTTTTTACTTAATTAATGGCATTTTTATTTGCTAGAGGATGCATACACTCACTTTAGAGAGATGGAGAGAGAGAGAGAGGGAGAGTGTGAAAAAACACCCACGGGGGATGATCACACCACAACTCCCTGTCCTCTAACCTTTCCCTTTGGCATTTGGGCATACATGCACATGTGCGCTGTGTGTTTTTCAACCTCCCACTCCAAAACTCGAACTGTACAGTAGGCCACAGGACATCCAGCCATCTTAACCACATGCCACTGGCTGGCCCAATGACTTTTCTTCAAACCTGAAACACACTCTGAACAAAGGAGTTAGCATGGTTTTACTAATTATCTTTTCTTCCTAGATTACTTTGGCAATTGTTTTCAGTATTAATACTGAACTATTTTTATGACATTCAACCAATATTAAGTCTAAGTCTAATTTTTCCCCCAAAACATACATATTAGTCATTGGAGAAAAATAGTGGAGTAAGTACGTTTTGGGTAACTGCTTAATAAAAACAAGATATCAAACATCTGGTTTGGCCCCATAGTTCAGTCGTTAAGGCCTGTGCACAAGGGGAACTAGATCGCACATGACCAGTTTTCATTCAAATCCTGGTCCTGGCAGTTCAAAAAATACTTTGGGCACATGTGTGTGCATGCCTCAAACCCTGACAGAATGGAGAAATGGAGGAAAAAGGATTGCAGCATGACCAGACCTCAATGTGGATGTCTCTTCTCTCGCTCTCTTCCTTTCCCTCTTTCTGACAAGCACATGTACCCCTGACAATTAAGAAAATCAAATATTTATTGATCATTTTCTACATGCTAAGTTCTCTTTTTAAAAACCCTACTTACAGTACCTTTTTTTTTTTCCCCAAAGTGTGTCTAATTCTTCCAAGAGAGAGACAGACAGGCAGACATCCCCAACAGGATCCGCACTGAGATCCACCCCCAGCGAGGACCAAAGGCACGTGTGTCCTAGTACATGCAGGGAGACCCTGGAATGGGAACCTGGGACGTCCTCTCCGACTTCCGCATCACGGAGTGCTGCGCTAACCACTGCACCACCACAGCTGGCCCCATTTAATGCTCGCAAAAAGAGGGTGCTCTG